AGTGGTACAGTTCTCAAGTTCACAGAGAGATTCGAATAAAAAAAAACATACAGACACACATTTTAGTTAGTTTGCCGAGATGTGGCGAGATACAAACGTTTCAAGCATGCCGAGAAGCCAGCCACTGCCCCATAAATCGTCTGGGTAATTTGGGTGGTACGAACTGATGTAGCCGTAACCAGCTGCCGATAATTCAAGAGATGAAATCACGAACCATCTTCTTCAGGAAATCGACAGGACATCACGTATAGATAGTTTGCCGAGATTTGTCGATCAAATGGGCAAATTTTGATCAAAACGTGCGACACAGTACAAAACAAAGTATTTTTAACACAACACGACAGGACGACGAATTTTACGAAACGATACATGAAGCGATGATAAATCCAATATACCTAATTTTAGCATAAATCCCAATCCTAGCAGCAATAAGCCATCGACGGAACTACCCTCTTCTATCCCCCTCCAGAATCTCCACTCTATTGCCTCAGCCGACCCCGACCAATACCCCCTTCAGCCGGCCTTGCCTACATTTCCAATTCTTTGGTCACCATCCCTCCCCCTCTCCCGTCTCTCCCATATGTGCCAATAACAGACATGCACAGAACATTCTAGAGCACATTGAACATTCTTCGAAAGAATTCAAAGCTGTACAATCGTATCAAATCGAGTAATTCAAAGAACATCGCAGAAAGTGAGTGCCAGAATCTTTTGCAAGCAAGAATAAGACTGGAATAATTTCGTACCAAATGCGGATCGGTGACCAATTCTTGCTCCGCCAAATTGTCATCAGCATCCATGTAATTGTCATCAGCATCCATGTAATTGTCATCGAATTCGTCCAATAAGAAAGAGACAGGATCCTAAAATTTTTATGGAATTGGAGCAAGATGAAACATTTCGACGAATGGTATAAGCCATTATTTCATCACAGAAGTCACAAAATTCAGCACCAGTTTTCTCAAGTTTATAGAGGGAATGGTGTAGATTTTTTTCTTTTTTTTTGAAATTTATGAGTAAAATTGCTTCTGGCATTAAAAAAAAAACGTTAGAATAATGCTACGGTTAAACACTTCTTGGGCATTTTCTGTAGAATAACAACAAAAAACACATTTTAGGCCGTATGAAGGGGACAAATCGGTGAGGCAGAAATCCTCAAAGCATGTCGAGAAGTCACTGCTCCGTAATTCGTTTGGCTAAGAGATGGGTGGTAGAAATCAATGTGCACCTGACAAGGTTTTCGATAATACAGGCGATGCACATTATAAATGTAGAACTATGTCACACAATGTGTTATTGGCCTGCATAAATTAAGCAAAGACGAATATGACTTAGCGAACCGAAATGTCTTATCTCACTCTTACCCTCTTTTCTCATACTGTTCTTTCATACTACAATCTACCGTGCCTCTCCGCCATTAAAGCTTCCAAGGTCAACCTGGTTGCTACAGTCGGCTTAAAATGCTCCTCGGTAACTTACACACC